GACACACACAGCAAAGCCATTTCTCACCTGCTGTCTCTGATCACAGAAGACACAGTTAGACTCACATTTCTCTGTGGGACACATGCAGTAGACCAGCTACAACTTGTTTGGAGAGAAAAGCAAGGGGCAGAGAGTCACCCTGTTGGCCCTGTGTGGGCTGGGACGAGTTTTAAATATAACTAAGAGTTACTTTATTAGAATTAAAAGCAGTGGAGGCTGAGCTTCAGGGCATGGGTTGTTTCCTAAGAATATAATCGTCAAACTTTTAAAGAACATTAGGATCAGCTTGTCAACTGGAGTAGGAATCAAATATGGAAGAAATGGGAGAGTATCTGTTTAGGGTAAAATTTGAGAATTTGTTTCAAATGACAAAAAGGTGTTTTCAGAAGACTGGTGTGGCCTCCAGGATAGAGTAAGAGTTTGTTGCATATCCTCTTCACCCGTATCTTTTTTTTTTTTTTTAATTTTTTATTCTTATGTTAATCCCCATACATTACATCATTAGTTTTAAATGAAGTGTTCCATGATTCATTGTTTGTGCATAACACCCAGTGCTCCATGCAGAATGTGCCCTCCTCAATACCCACCACCAGGCTAACCCATCCTCCCACCCCCCTCCCCTCTAGAACCCTCAGTTTGTTTTTCAGAGTCCATCGTCTCTCATGGTTCGTCTACCCCTCCGATTTCCCCCGCTTCATTCTTCCCCTCCCGCTACCTTCTTCTTCTTCTTTTTTTTTTTCTTAACATATATTGCATTATTTGTTTCAGAGGTACAGATCTGAGATTCAACAGTCTTGCACAATTCACAGCGCTTACCAGAGCACATACCCTCCCCAGTGTCTATCACCCAGTCACCCCATCCCTCCCACCCCACCCCCCACTCCAGCAACCCTCAGTTTGTTTCCTGCAATTAAGAATTCCTCATATCAGTGAGATCATATGATACATGTCTTTCTCTGTTTGACTTATTTCACTCAACATAATACCCTCCAGTTCCATCCACGTCGTTGCAAATGGCAAGATCTCATTCCTTTTGATGGCTGCATAATATTCCATTGTATATATATACCACATCTTCTTTCTTTATCCATTCATCTGTCGATGGACATCTTGGCTCTTTCCACAGTTTGGCTATTGTGGACATTGCTGCTATAAACATTGGGGTGCACGTACCCCTTCGGATCCCTACTTTTGTATCTTTGGGGTAAATACCCAGTAGTGCAATTGCTGGATCATATGGTAGCTCTATTTTCAACTTTTTGAGGAACCTCCATACAGTTTTCCAGAGTGGCTGCACCAGCTTGCATTCCCACCAACAGTGTAGGAGGGTTCCCCTTTCTCCGCATCCCCGCCAACATCTGTCGTTTCCTGACTTGTTAATTTTAGCCATTCTGACTGGTGTCTTCACCCGTATCTTAATGTCAGCTTTCTGCAAGCCCAGGATTTGCAGACTGAGTTCATCATTGTCATGGGGGCAGTTTCTGACACTGACCTGCCTCATCCTCATTAGCACCTCTTCACTCTCTGCTTAAGGAACAGGTTTTCACTGCCTTCAATTCTTCTGAGATCAGAGGAGATTGGGCGCATTCAGGGTGGGATGGCCGTAGACTCACTGCCTTCAATTCTTAATTGCCTTCTGTGGCATTGTTTTTTTAAACTTACCTTAAACTTGTATTTATCATACATATGTACTAGCATTAGTGCACAAAATAAAATTATACTGTTAGAGAAGATGGTGAATAACTAACAAAATAGTTCGGAGTCTGAACTTCTATACCTTTTGTTTTGAAAAATATATAGAAAAGTACAAAGGGTACAGTAATAAATCCCTGTTTATATACTACGCACAGCTAATATAAGTAGGCTCATTGTCATATTTGCTACTCATCTTTCCTCTAAGAAAAAAATTCCAGTAAAGTGATTTATTTTCTTCGCTAGTATTGTTCTACTTCTTTCTAAGAGGTTGTCACTGTCATGAATTTAGTGTGAATCCAGTACATTTTTATGCTTTTGTTGATTTCATATGTCTATAAAAATGACTAGTATTTTATATATTTTAAACATTGCATGGACAGTTATTATCATATAAAGAACAGTATCATAAAGTAGCCTCATGTAATTTCTCAGTGAATGTTATTTTCAAGATCCCTCCATGTGGCTGTATAGATCTGGATCATGATTTAACTGCTGTATAGTGTATGAATATACCACAGTTTATCAATGCCAATATTTTCCTACTGTTCCTGGTGTGCAGTGCACATTCTTTGAATACATGACAGCCCAGAAGTGAAATTGCTGGCTCTTAGGGTTTTCACATTAGAACCTTACTAAATACTGCCAAATTGCTTTTCACAGAGGTCAATAAAAAATAACCTGCGAGTGGTATCTAAGACTTCCCATCTCCCTATATCTTTGCTAACACTGGGTGGTGATGGACTTACTGCCAGTCTCTTGACTGCAGAATTGCATCTCACTGTTGTTCTGATTTGCAGTTCTCAGATAATTGGAGAGGTTGAATATCTTTTCACATTTATTTGCCACTCCCATTTCATCATCTGTGAATAACCAATTCATATCTTTTGTCCGTTTTTTGTATTTCTTTTGATTTTTAGGAATTCCTGATATATCTGGTTATAATCCTTTGTTAAATCTATTGCAAGTGTCTTTTCTTTGTCATTTGTCTTTCAATTTTGTACATAGTGTCTTTTAAATTATGATCTAGTCAAGTTTGGGGACCTGGGTGGCTCAGTCGGTTAAGCATCTGACTCTTGATTTTCACTCAGGTCATGATCTCAGGGTTGTGAGATTGAGCCCCACATCGGGCTCTGGACTGGGCATGGAGTCTGCTTAAGATTCTCTCTCTCTTTGGATGTAGTCAGGTTCATCAATCCTTTTTTGATTTTTACTTACTGTTTCAGATTTGAGAAATTCTTCCTTACCCCAAATCATGAAGAGATTCTCTCACATTTTCTTTAAAAAAAATTTTTTTTTAAGATTTTATTTATTTATTTGAGAGACAGAGACAGTGAGGGAGAGAGAGCATGAGAGGGGCGCAGGGTCAGAGGGAGAAACAGACTCCCCACTGAGCAGGGAGCCCAATGCGGGACTTGATCCTGGCACTCCAGGATCATGACCTGAGCTGAAGGCAGTCGCTCAACCGACTGAGCCACCTAGCACCCTCTTTTAAAGTTTTTAAAGATCTAGAATGTATATTCTTATGTGGGCAGGGCTCAGATTTTAATTCTTTTAGATGAATGTCTGTTTTCCAACACCATTAAGTAGTCCATTGTTTCTCTACAGATTTGTTGTATCTCTATCACATTGCAAGACTCCATGGTTTAGTCTGTTTCTAAGCTTTATATCACGTTGTATTGATCTGTTTCTCTGTCTGAACCAGTTCCGCATTATCACTTACAATAGATTGTAGAATCTTTTTATTTACATAGACATTTACTTAAATTGAAAATAATGATAAACTTGTTTCTTCCTTCCAGTTCTTAGACTTTTTATTTCTTTTTCTTCTTTCGCCCTGTTGGCTGGAACCTGCAATACAACATCAACTATTAGAGGTTATTGTAGGCATTTAGACTCTATGTTTCCAACTTTGATAGGAATGCTTCTATAGTTTCGTCATAGTATTTGCTGTAGGTTTTGGTATGCTGTTTGTTGTGGGATTTGGTGTAGGTACTGTTTAGCAGAACAAGGAAATCCCCTTGTATTCCTAGTTGGCTAACAGTTTCTTTTGTTATTATGAGTAGTGATGAATTTTATTGGAAGATTTTCTGCATTCATTGAGATAAGTTCTCATTTAATTTTTTAACATGGGGAATTCCATATACGGATTTGCTGACATTAAAGCCATCCTGTATATCTGGAATTCTGCTTGCTTTTCTGTTTTTGAAATACTAATATTTAAGTATTTTGTATCTGTGTTCTTAACTGATTTGTGTGTTAGTTTTCTTTCATGTACTGTTCTTGCCTGATTTTGACATTGAGGTCTTGCTATCCTCTTTATTTATTTTTTTAATTTAAATTTTAGTTAAACTACAGTGCAGTATTGGTTTCTGGAGTATAATTCAGTGACTCATCACTTAAATACAACACTCAGTGCTCATCACATCAAGTGTCCTCTTTAATACCCATCACCCATCTAGCCCACACCCCATCCATCTCCCTTGCTGTCCTCTTTAAAGAAGTTTAATTCTGGAGACTCTGCTGAATGTCCTGACTCTGGTGAGGGCAGGATTGGGAATTTGCACCATACAGGTCCTGGCCTCTTGGTGATCTGCCCTATGCCTGTGCAGCTTAGGATCAGGTGAAGGCTCAGGGGACAGTCTGTAGATCTCCGAACTATTTCTGTGTGCACGTACCTCACAGAAGCTCCTTTTTGTATCTATTGCATCTGAACTTCTTAGGCTAATCCCCTTAACATGCTTTTCCACTGGAAGCTTAGTAACTTATCACAGCTCCTACCAGTGCATTGTGATGTTCTTTCTGTTAGTCCTCAACCAGCTTGTTTCAGAGCGTCACATCCCTTCACAGTTCTTCTGGAACACATTGGGTCTGGGCTTCTGAAATGGTTTCTTTAACATCATATTGTTTGTTTATTTATATTTATTTTTAAGGTTTTGAGAGAGAGTGCGAGCCTGTGCACACAAGTGGAGGGGGGTGGGAAGGGGCAGAGGGAAAGGGAGAAGCAGGCTCCCTGCTGAGCAGGGAGCCCAACATGGGACTTGATCCCAGGACCCTGAGATCATGACCTGAGCTGAAGGCAGACGCTTAACTGATTGAGCCACCCAGGTACCCCTAACAGCATATTGTTTAAATGCTGCTGCAGATCTTATACATTAGCAGAGTATATTTTAATACTAGTTTTTGTTTAAAAACATCTTTGAAGGATTGGAGATTTGATCAAAGATGCAACATGCAAATGGAAGTCTGGAGGTGTAGACGTTATGATGTAACGGATTAGGAGCCTACTGATTATATTCCCTTTACAGATGTTCTCAAATCCCAGCATCCTTGGGAAAGGAGTGGCTCTGCTTTCACACCAGCTGGTTGACCAGGATGAAGTTAAAGCTGCCGTCCTAGGCTACAGAAAGTTCTACATGAGCCAATTAACTGACCTCACAGTTGATAATGTAGTTTGGGGATTGAGAGAACTTGTTGAGAGCTGATGAATGATGTGTGGCAGTACATGGGGACTGTGATAGGAATGGTGAGAGGGGTTGGGAGTTTGGGTGATGAACAGATCGTGGTAGGGGTGGGCGGGCATTTGGGAAGGACTTCGTAGAGCGGGAGGGAATTCACACGAGCAAGAGCCTGAGGGGCCTGTGTTTCAGGACAGGGCACCGTGTGCAGAGACAAGGAGTGGTGGGCTTCTGCAGAGATGGGCCGGGGGCAATGAGGATGGAAAGGGGGTTGGGGGCAGGTGTAGAGGGTCTTAAATATATCTCATGGGCAGCTAACATGCGCTGAAAGCTTTTGAGTGAAGGAGAAAAAATCCAAAGAGCTGCATTTTACGAAACCCAGTCTGTCAGCAAGTCTGGATTAGGATTTTATTCGAGTTTGGCTGCACATTGCAATCACCTGGAGACTTTAAAAAAACAAAAAGCAAAAACCAGAACTGATGTCTGAGCGCCCCCCCCGCCCCAAGATTCTGATTCAGAGCCTGCTGTTAGTCTTGGGTTTTGAGAGTTTTAAAAGCTCCCCAGGTGATTCTAATGTGCTGCAAAGCCTGAGAACGGAGGCCCAGCCCCCTGATAAGATCTTGATGTAGTGTTTACTCATTGTGTTGAGCCACTTCTGGCTGGGCAAATGCAGAATCAACTGGTGGAAAAGTATTTTTAAAGTGCTTCTGTAACATTTATTTATAATATTCCACATACTTCAGTGCCTTGGTTAGAATAACTGTTTTCTCATAAGTGCCTACAAATTTTTACTTCGGAAGTAGATGGTGATAAATAGACTTTTGGAAGGGACCCATAATCATCTTGGGAATTTGGTCACATGGAAAGTTTTTAAATTTTTTTTGCATTAAAAATAAAAGGGCAACAACATAAAACAAACACATTTATCACAGCAAGAATTCAAGAAAATAAATGCAACTGTAGTGTGAAAACACCAAATTTGCCATTATAAAAATATAAATCCTGGGGGCACCTGGGTGGCTCAGTTGGTTAAGCGACTGCCTTCGGCTCAGGTCATGATCCTGGAGTTCCGGGATCGAGTCCCGCATCGGGCTTCCTGCTCGGCAGGGAGTCTGCTTCTCCCTTTGACCCTCCCCTCTCTCATGTGCTCTCTCTCATTCTCTCTCTCTCAAATAAATAAATAAAATCTTAAAAAAAAATATATAAATCCTAATGTGTGGAATTGTTGAATCGCTGTATTGTACACCTGAAGCTAATATAACACTGTATGTTAATGATAGTGGAATTAGGAAAAAAAAATCCTCAAAAACGTGCTGCTGGAAGAGTGCCAGTTTCCAAACACTGTATGTCCGTGGTTTTCAAACTTGAGGATGCATCTGACTCATCTAGAGGGCGGTCAAACTGCTGGACTGCAGTTCCAGATTTAGCAGGCCCCAGACGGCCCGAGAACATGGATTTCTAAAGTGCTTCCATGTGATGCTGCCGCTGGTCCAGACACCACGCTTTGGGAAGCGAGAACCACGACAGCGTGAGGTCCCAATTTCCAAGGAAAAATGGCCTGACAGAATGTGGTTGCAGGACATGAGTTTTGCTTTTCTTTTCATGCAAGGTGAGGGGCTTATTTTGGCAATTAGGGACTGTAACCCACTCACCTCCTCCCCCCACCCCCTGCCCCAGGTCAAGCCAGCCCCCCCTCCCCCCACATCTGTGTGTTCCAGGGAGTTGCTGCCAGATCCTTCCTGGGGTAGGTGGACGAGACCATTGTCTAGTCATTCTCCTTACTCTTCTCTCAGCATTTACTGCAAAAGGGTCATAGTGTATCCAGTCGTACTACTGTATAACATATTCTTTATCTTACAGTAAAAAATTGTTGTAAGTTCGTTTAAAATTCTTTCCCTGCCTCCCACACTCTACCAAGTGTGAAGAGTTAAAAAAATCTCTACCCTTTTACACTTCCGCTCCATCCATGTTCTCCTAAAGGTAGGTTCTTGTTGTGTGTTCTCAGTGGTGTTTTGGAAGATTTCATGATTGGCCCCCGTCTAGGTACCAACTTTTGTAAGCTGCTCTGTGCAGCCTTCCTGGTAGATTAGGGGACGTTTGCAGTACACCTTGGGAGGGAGGAGAAGCGGAAATCATTCTCAGATGTTTAAATGAAACATGTTTCTAATTGAAAGCATGAAGAGAATGTACACATGAAAGTGCCTGGGGGCTGATGTCTGGCACAGGCTTAGCTTTGAAAGCCCAGTCCTGTTCTCCCTTGTGGCCACTTCTGTTCTCGCTGGGTGGAGCCCATTTCCATTCCTGTGACATTCCATAAATAACCGTGGCCTGGTAGGGACCCAGTGATCATCAGTTGGCCAAGAAAATGCTGATAAATTAGAATCCTGAACCCTGGAACTGCATAGTTTTGGGCTTTGAATTCTAGAAGCCTAATTTGGTAAGAGCTCTTGGGGACCATTTTAGAAAAAGCAGTTACTGCCTGCCCTCCTCCTGCCCCCAAACATGTACAGGTGCAGAGGCCAAGGTTAAATAACTTACCCCAAGGTCACCAAGGGAGTTGGCTGCATTTTTCTTTGCTTTTTAAGAATCCTTTCCCACTTTTGGAAAAGTTGTCAGCCTAGTGTTCTGGCACTTGATGGTCATTTCTTATCATTATTGGCTGTAACTAATAGGAATCATATTGTAGGAAGATGGGAAAAGTATCTTTTCTCTTTTATAGAAGAACAGGAGGTCAAAGAGCTTTTAGTCATGGTCATTTGGCTCGTCCATAACTGAGCCTGCTCTGGTTCATATCCCTCATTTATTTTGTAAATATTTGTGGACTGAATCTGACATTGAATTTTATGGGAGATGCAGTAGTGTGATCTGCCCGAGGACCAAGAGTTGAAGTCAAAAGTGGACTGATAACAAAATCAGTTGGCGTAAATCAATGCATTTGGACAAACAAAGAAGAAACTGAAGGAATCCTGTCCGTTGGACTATAACATCAACCTAATTAAATTTAAGTCAGTCACCTCTAAACTCCTCTAGTACCTTGCCTGTGATGAAATCCACTTACCTTACCCATGGCCCATAGGCCTGCCAACTTGAAAACTCTAACTGCAGTTCTGGTGATTCAGAGTATATGCATCCTATCAAAAAGGAGATAAAGAGCTCATTTGTTTTTGGTTGCCTTTCATTGTAACAGGAGGAATGGTATACGGGGCACTGGCTTTTAAAAACAAAAGTATAAAAGTGTATGTTGGATGCTTCTCAATCTGGGCATCCTCTGTCCTTAAAAACAAAAAAGTGGGTTGGATTCCATTTCTCAAACAGTCACTCCAAGCTCAAAAAGCTTATGCCAGATGAAGACTGTTGCACTTTTTGGAGTTTGAGATGGGACTTGGGCTTTTTTTGCCGAGTCTTGTTTGGATATCTAAAATTTAAACGTGAGCTACAGAGCACAGCTTAAAAAAGAAGGGCAAAGCATTTTCTTAAGCTTTTCCTTTGTTTCTGATGCATTTCTGAGAGGCATTCTAATAAAGTGGTTAAGAATGATGATGTTGCAGCCAGTTCACTTGGATTCAGTTCCCAGCTCTTCTATTTACTCATAATCGTGTGACCTTTGGCAAGTTACATAACCCTGTGTCTGTTTCTTCATCAGTAAAACAGGCAAAATAAAACATCGACTTACAGCAGTTGCTGGGGGATTAAATTGTTGATACCTCATTAGAACAGTGCCTGGCACATAAGAAGCCATTAATAAATATTAGCTATCATCATCTTTTCCATCATGTTTTTTTAAAATTATTTTTTAGAGACAGTGTGAGTGGTGGTGGGGGAGGGGCAAAGGGGGAGAGAGAGAGAGAGAGAGAGAGAGAGAACTTTAAGTAGGCTCCACGCGGGGCTTGAGCTCCCGGCCCTGAGATCATGACCTGAGCCAAAACCAAGAGTTGGATGCTTAATTGACCAAGCCACCCAGGTGCCCCTCCATCGTGTTTTTAAATACAGTTTTATTTTTTGGGGGAAAATCCTGGTGCTAATGTGAAGGCTTTGGAAGAATTTGTGATGTCTATAATGCTTTTCTTCGAAGTCATGTCTTCTGTTGTCTTTCTGCAGCAAGCTGTGTTCCACCGTGCCAGAACGGAGGGATGTGTCTCCGGCCTCAACTCTGTGTGTGTAAACCGGGGACCAAGGGCAAGGCCTGTGAGACCACAGCTGTCCAGGACACCTCGTCACCAGGCTTTGGGGGGCAGAGTCCTGGGGCTGCTTCCTCCTGGGTCCCTCCTGAGCAAGCAGCAAAACACACTTCATTGAAGAAGGCAGACAGTCTACCACGAGTCAGCCCCATGGCCCAGATGACCTTGACCCTCAAGCCGAAGCCTTCAGTAGGACTCTCCCAGCAGATTCATTCTCAGTGAGTGTTTTCAATTTGCCTCCACTCAGGAGCACCTTAATTATTGTCCTGGATGCCCTGCATGCCCTGCTTTCAATCACTCTGCTTTTCCTGCACAATTTGCTAAAATCACTTGGATAATGATGTCTTTTCTTTCCTTAAGGTTTTACATGTTATGCTTACACATCAAGTCTCTTAAATGTATTTGGTATGTGTGTTTAGCCTCTGCAGGGAAGATTGACCATAAATGTAAACCAAAGCATTGGAGAGGACTAGGGGAATCAAGGTGGGACAGGAATAAGAAAGATAGTTGTTTGTGGTGCAGTTGTGAGTTAAAAAATTCTTCTTTTTTAGGGGTAGGGGGAAGTGTCTAGAGTTTTGAAATAATTGAAGGGAAACAATGAGGGAAGTTTGCGAAGATACATGGAAATGGCAGGAACTCCACTCTGCACAGAGAAGGTATTCAAGTGAGCGGAAGCCCTGGGAAAGAGCATTTCTCAACCTCGGTAGCAGGTTAAGTGTCTCTTCTATTAACACCATGTTTTCCTCCCAGTTGCCACCCAGGTCCATTTTTGGTGAATGAGCCTGTGTTCTATTTATGGGAACGTGGTTTTTTCTTAGTGTTTGGAAGTAAATGCCATTCTGAACACAATGAGGACTCCTGGATAAGACTGCTTATCCCTGCCCTCCTCTGAGTGGCCCGAGGAGCACCTCCTCGCTGCCCAGCGTCCTTACGCACGTTGCTTCATTTTAATTAGCTACTCGACATGTATAACAAGATGTAGAAGGTACTGCATCTCTCACTTGTCATTTGTCTAGGAATGTAAAATATAGGAAGTTCTCCACTTGAAAATGGGCTTGACCCAGAGGTTCATTTGTAAGTCACTTGCTGGGAGTTTGGAATACTTTCCCCCCCTAGAGACAGCTTCCACATGGTGATTAGTACCTAGGCAGCCCACAGAAGTTATTTAATCTGCTAGTATAGATGAAATTACCCTAATTTATGCTTCCCCATCAAGCAGGCCACCTACTGTCCCTGCTGAGTGGGGTCCTCATACTTTTTCCTCTGTCTTCTTATTCCCTCCTCACTGCTCTTCATTCTGTTTTTCTTTCATTTTTTTCTCTCATTTCTTCTTTTTTTTTTTTTTTTTTTAAAGATTTTATTTATTTATTTGAGACAGAGAGAATGAGAGACAGAGAGCATGAGAGGGAGGAGGGTCAGAGGGAGAAGCAGACTCCCCGCCGAGCAGGGAGCCCGATGCGGGACTCGATCCAGGGACTCCAGGATCATGACCTGAGCCGAAGGCAGTCGCTTAACCAACTGAGCCACCCAGGCGCCCTCTCTCATTTCTTCTTATTCTTCAGTTCTACCATGGTAAACAGATTCGGGGGGCTAGTTTGAAATCTAACCACTTTGCTAGCATTTCCCTTGGAGAACACGTCCTGCAGCCTGCAACAAGAAGGATTGGTGGTTCCAGTGAATCTGTGGTCACGGCTTACTGCATGTCGGGGACTCTTTTCAAGTGCTTTGTCTGTATTCTTAATTTACAACTCACAGTGACCCCAGAAGGTGGGTACAATGATTAGCCCCCCTTTTACAGGTAGGGAAACTGAGGGTACAGAGTGGTTATGTAATTTGGTCAAGGTCACACACTTAATAAGTGAATAATATTAACACATGTTAGGCTTTAAATAGAGGCAGGTAAGATTCAGCATCCGTGCCCTGAAGTAGAGGATGGCAACTTTTTCTGTAAAGGGCCAGGTCATAAATATTTTCAGCTTTGTGGGACATATGGTTTCTGTTGTAGCTTCTCAACTCTGCCGTTTAACACAAAAGCAGCCGTAGATGATGAATAAACGGACACGTGTGACTGATCCAATAAAACTTTATTGACGGACACTGAAATTTGGATTTCGTATAAATTTCATGTGTCACCCAATATTCTTCTTTTGTTTTTCCCCCCCTTTCAACCATTAAAAAATAATCATAAGAATATAAGAATTCTTATGATTTGCTGATGCTTTCTCTAAAAGATGGTGCTTTTTTGGGCCAGAACATGAATGTAACTGTGTGTCCTTGAAATGATACAAAGCTTTGGTGATACCCTAGCTAGACATTTCTCGTCCAGCATTGTCCTGCATCTTAAAAACAAAGAACAGTTCCGTGCTGAACAGTGCCTTGGCAATCGAGAGTCAGGTTACCGTGCATTGTGATTATTTTTTTTCTTGCGTTACTACTTACATAAACTGTGAAGTAATTTACAAGCGATCTCATTCATCTTGAATATCACCATCTACTGTTACAATTTGACCCTCTGTGATGTGTATATATAGATTGTTAGTAAGAACCATATGTCAGAAGTCAGATAAAGGAGGAACTTTTTCTTTCTTTTTTTGGTAGCAGCAGTATAATTTAGAGAAGAATGTTGTAAGTCAAAGAGGTGGCTAAGGTTTCAGCTCAAACATGGCTTTGGAAAAATAAGTCAGTAGATACATTTGCTTCAGAGGCTTCATCTGCTGAATGAAGACCCTTTTAACCATGCCATTGTTATAGGGCGTTTGTATGTGGATGTGCCTCCAGTGTGGTTTTGGGTAAGGAGACGAGATAGCCTGAGACACTAACAATTCTGACAATTTCTTTCCTTTTTTTTTTTTTAAGTATTATTTATTTATTTGGGGGAGAGAGAGAGAGAACAGAAGGGGAGAGGGAGAAGCAGACTCCCTGCTGAGCAGGGAGCCCGATGTGGGGCTCTATCCCACGACCTTGGGATCATGACCTGAGCTGAAGGCAGATACTTAACCATCTGAGGCACCAGTTGCCCTAATTCTGACAATTTCTTAATAAACTTTTATACGTTAATACATTGTACTAAGATGTACAAGATCCATTTCTGCTCTTAAGGAGGTTTTGAAATGATCTATGAGCTGTAACTTGCAAGAGACGCCAAGGCAGGGGTGCAGTTGGCCCACAGATGATTTTAGGTAATGACCTAATCACGTGAAACCCTATTTAATCAAACCGCCAAAGAACACAGATGATAGGACCATTTTTGGCTACTTTTGGGAGATTTAACAATTCTTAAGTTACCTTTTTTTTTTTCTTTTAAGATTGCCTCCTTTAGGGGGTTTCAAGGTTTTGTTTTATTTTTATCTACTGAAGGAGATTGATGAAGCCCCCTTAAGGTGCTTGTAGACATAAAGATAGCTAAAATATCAAAATGTGTATTTAGTGTTATACTCATCATGTGGCATACGAAGCCCTTCAGTCTTGATCATTTATTACCCAAGCTCTTATTGAACACATTCTGTGTCCCATGCATGCACCATTATAGGGGTGCAGGGTACAGAATGAACGAATACACAAAATGTCTGCCTTCCCGGAGCTTATGGTCTGCAAAGTGGGAGACATTTGAAAGTGGCATAATTAAACCATTATCATAAGTGCTGTGGTGAAAATTGTAGTGAGGGGCCAGGAGTGCTGTGTGGGTGCAGGGTTGGAAGGCATGAGGGCTCTGGTGGTCTTAATCGGCTGTCAGGGAAGACCCAACTGAGAAGGTGACATTTAAGCAAAGGCCTGAAGGAAGTGAGAGCATGAACCCTGAAGACGGGTGTGTGCATGGCATGTTTGCAGGAACAGTGACTTTAGTAAAACTGTGTAATGTTAAAACTACACGTTTTACGTAGGTGAGCCGTAGATGAATTGGTTTTACCTTTGGCCAGATTGGTTTTAGAGAGCTTGACTTAGGACCAGATACCGAGTTCTTTAGGAAATCAAAGGAAGGAGCAATTGTTTCCAGATTTTGGAGTGTTGGGAAAGTGGGGGTCCAGGGATGGCTCTAGAGAAGGTGAGCTTGAAAAAATGGTGAAATTTGGACACAAAGAACTGGATAAGAAGGGCATTTCCAGGAATGGCAACGATGTGACATCAGAAATCATGATGTATTAGTTACCCACTGCTGTGTAACAGATCACCCCAAAACTCTGCAGCCTCAAACAATAAACATTTATTGTCTGGCAGTCTCTGTAGGCAAGGAACCCAGGAGGTGCTTAGCTGGGGGTTGTGGCTCAGTGTCTGTCATGAGGTTGAAGTCTGCAGGGGCGGCTCGACCAGGGCTGGCATTCACTCATGCCCATGGCCGTTAGTTAGCAGGATGCTTCACTTCCTCTCAACGTGGAGCTCTCTGCAGAACTGCCTGAGAGTCCTCACAGCATGGCCACTGGCTTCCTCCAAGGCCAGTGATCCCCCACTGGAGAGAGCAAGGAGAAAGCCACAGAGCCTTTGTGGTTTTCAGTCTTGAAAATATATACCTTCTCTTCCACTACATTCTACTCATTAGAAGTGAGTCCCTAAGTCGAGTGCATCCTCAAAGGGGTGAAATTAAGCTGCTCTGCTTGAAGGGACAAATTATCAAAGAATTTTTGGATGTATTTAAAAAAAAAGACTACATTTAGGATATGATTTGATTGGAACTTGATATAGATGCAGACTAGTGGTAATAAAAGGTTTTAAGGATTGGTTTAAAAAACCAAGTTTAACACTTAAAATTTTACCAAAACAATTCCAAAAAGATACAACAAAGCAAAATAGAAAAAAAGAAAGGAATACAGAGGGAAACTATAGTTTAAAAGAGGCTTAAGAAACATGCTAACTAATCACAATGTTTGGACTATGTCCATCCTGATTCAAGAAAAATTGTAAATAAAAGAAAAAGATGATGTATTAGGTGAATCATGAAAATGATGACATTGATTGGAAATTTAATGATAGAAAAGAATGATTGTTGATTTGAGGGTCTGTGATGAAGATGTTATAGTTGTGTAAGGAGAATGATATTAAAGTATTTGCAGATGAAGTCATACGCTGTCTGAGCTTTGATTGAAATTATTCAGTGGGTTGAGGTGTAGAGGTAACACGATTGGCCATGAGGAGATAATTACTGAAGCTGGATGATGGGTCCATGAGGTTTCTCACAGAACTCTATTTTTGATGTTTTCAGTAATGAAGAGTAACAACAACAATA